ACATGGCCGGCCCTTCTGTTTAACCCCTCCATTTACCACTGGAGAAATAAGGGCCCGAAGACAGACAGGAACTAGCACAAGGTCACAGAGAAAGACAGCTTCATTCTCCCCTCCCAACCTGAGCACCTCTCCCCTGTGCTGCCTCCCACGTCAGTGACATCCCGGTGGGTGGGTCGACTACACCTTGCTGTCACTCCACAGATTCCCTGAACACCTGAAGGATGGCTGCCTGAACTAGCAGCCTCAGTTTAGTTGAGGCAGTGATGGGTCAGAAGTCATCAGGATCTGGACTAAATTCCCCATAGGGTTAGTTTATGATAAAAGGACGCCCATCCCAGTCCTGATCACCCTGGGTCCGCAAGGTCTGGTAACTGCTACATGGAATGAATCCCAAACCCAGCCTGGGTGACCTTCTGCAAGCGACTTTAGTCTTGCTGTTCCTTGGATTCCCATCTGTAATATGGGTCTGTTAGCCCCCACAGTCTGTGCCCTTACCCACGATGATTACCTGACTTTCCCCAGAAATACAAAACTCCCAGTTAATCAATCATTGACCACACGTCAGGCACTGTAAGAGAGACCCTGAACGCCAGACCACTCTAGGAACGGCCGTGGATCCTGGAATCGGGAGTCAAGAACTAGAGACCCTTGGTACAAGTCTGCGTCCCTCCGCGCCAGTCTCCGACTCGGGCAGTAAGCCCCGTGGCCGACCAGCGCAAGCATGCGGGGGACCTGGCGCGCAACAGGGCCCCGCTCCCCGCACTGTCCGGCCTCCCGGACCGCCCGGCGCCGCCTCGGCCCGGTATTCAAGGTCCCTCTGGGTAAGTGGCCCCTGGTGCACAGGATTCCGCGACGAGGGGCAGGACACGCCCCGTGGGTGGCCCCCCGGGTGGGGAAGAACCCCTCAGCCCCCTCTCGGCCTCCGTACCTGACCGGAGCCGCTTCCTCCGGCCGCCACCACGGTGCTGCCTGCCCCGTCCGTCTCCTGCGCCGCCGCCATCTTCCCACTCCGGGTCCCCGCCCCCGCCGCCAACCCCGCCCCGTCCCCGACGGCGCCAGAGCGATCGCGCGAGATTTCACGTTTGCCCGAACCGCCGGCCACCGTACCCGGCAAGAGCGCCTCAGCCACGCCTCTCGAAAGAGCGGCTTCCGGCTATGAAGAAACCAACCCAGCCACCGTACATCCCCCTCCTAGTAGCCCGTTTGTTTTCCCCTAAGGGACACACTGCCTGCTCCGAACTCCCCGGATTTTCTCGGCTACCACACGCGCTTCCCAGTCTCCATTACTTCTGCCCCCTCGAATACACCCGCCTCTTCCCGTTGTATGAGCCTTCCAGCCGTCCCTCTCGCTTCGCTCTGCTGGTTTTTCGAGTTCTTTCCGTTCTATATTTCTTGAGCTTCCCCGGCCACCGTAACGCTTCAAAACGTCGGGCCCGAGCCACGCCTCTCTAGAGTTAAAGGAACCTTCCTGGCCACCGTACCCGGATTTGGAGCGGATTTGGAGGGTATTGGAGGCCAATACCCTCGCCCTCTGACCCCTCTGCCTAACTCAACCTTTTCACCCCGACGAGTCCTCTTTAGGTTATAGGTTTCCTGTGCATTCCCAGTGCTATTTCAGGGTTTTCACGGGCACGACACTGCCAAATTAGATCCTGGCAGTCCCTCACCTAGCCCTCGGGCTGCCACATTAGCGCGAATGCGCTTTCTCTTGGCGACCTGCTTGTTGAGAGCAAACTTTGCAGTTCTGGACTTGGCTTCAGGGACTTTATGAACTCGGTATTTTCTTGGTTATGTTATCTGTCTGCATCTCTAAGCCTGGACACTGGTTCAGAGACTCCTGGCTTGGGAAGGGTGTTTAACGAAGGCCCACCCAGCGAGGACAGAAGATTCTTAGCAGCTCTTAAACCTTCACCCGTGAGTTGGGTAGAGATCTGACCTGGGTTTACTCCCTGATTGTATTACTGATTGGTTAAGTGATCCCGGACAAGAAACATACCTCTTTAAGCCTCAGTTTCTTCCTGTCTTATAAAGTAGGCGTTATATAACCACTTGGCCCCCTGCCTCCACTTAGTGATCAACACCGTGCGGTCTTTCTGCCAACCTTATACATTGCCTGGAAGAGAGACTCTAATTATTTATTGTTTTACTCTCTACTTCCTCTACTTTTCTCTAGCTCTCAGCTCGATAATATCACCTCCTCCAGGAAACCGTCCTTGGCCCCCCAGGCTAGGTGAGGCACCGCCTCCCAGTCCTCCAAGATCCCTGGACTCCCTCACCCCACCCATGCTCACTCCAGGTCCTCACTGTCAGGGATGGGTGTGTTGTGCCTTGCCCTGGGACAAGCGAGTCCAGGCTGTCACGGTCATTGCTGTGTCCTCCAGCACTGCCCCAGGGGGTGATTGCTGAGTGAAAGGATGAAATCCTGAGTGCAGAAGGTGAATGACTTACTTCTGAAGGCCAACACAAGGGCAGGAAGAAACCTTAGAAAACTTCTCACCCAGTCCCTTTCTCTTTCAGATAATAGTAGTAATAATAATTCTGTAAAACTGTAGGCCCAGTCTTTAAGTCCAGGGGTGAATGAACATACTGATTAAGTCCTCCGGAGGGAGGGAATTTGGGGGGAGCAAACTGAGATTTTGTAGGCTTCTCTTAAAAGTACAAAATTACAAGTACAAATTTAAATAGAGGCCCACAGAAAGGCCAGACAAGTGACGGGCTTTGAAGCTTAATCTTCAGCTTCACTGTAACCCCATTTCTGCTCTCAGTTCTAGATACAAAATGTCCCAATCTGTCTTCCTTCTCTTATATACAGCTGAGTCCTCATCTTTGAAGCATTAGAGGCTCTCAGCTAGACTGGCCTTAGATGGGACCCCTACAAAGCCCTACCCGCCCCATGTCTTTTGATTGACCAAATAAATTCATTCTTTCCAACTGGTAAATAAATCACAGGCCAGAACCACTCTGCCCTTCGCTAGGGGGCGCCCAACACCAGCCAGAGGCTGTGATTTCATGTTCTAAGGAACAAGGGGGCTGGGGACCTGCAATGGGTCTTAAGAAGAGGTTGAGGGTCTGGACTCTGGGGTCTGAGGGAGAAATCTGGGGTCCCAGACTCCTGAGTTCTCAGGGAAGAGGAGCCTAGGGGCCTGGATTCTGGGGTCTTGAGGGGAGCAGGACTGCGGTAGGGGCCTGAGAAAGGAAGGAGGAGTCTGGGAAGGGCACCGGGATTGGTTGGAAGCAGAACTGGCCTGGGCAGAGGTTTGGTTTGGCTTCAGTCCGTGGGAAACAAGTGGACAGAGCAGGAATTGTTCCTCCAGAGTCCTCCCCTCTCCACCACCCCCTAGGTTTGGCAGCTTCAGCTCTTCGCAGGCCCTGGGACGTAGCGACATTTCCCACAACCCCTCCCCAAGGCCCCTGTTTTCCACTAGATTCACAGCTGCCCAACCTCAGGACCTGGGAAAACTGCTCCAACAGTGCTGAAAGGCTGGCTGGAGGTTAATACCAAGCAGATTAGGAGAAATACAAGCTCTGGGTCCTCAGAGGCCAACAGTCCGAGCACTGGGGACCTGGGGGCCCAGGACCACCCTCGACTCCCTCAGGATCCAGGAGTCCTGGTGCCCAGCCCCTCTTCCCACAGGATCCAGCACTGCCCTTTCTCAGACTGCAGAGCCTCTGTTCTTCTTTGCACAGCCTGTACTTTTTGCCTGCAATTCCCCATTCCCCAGAGACTCTCTTCCAACCACTAACCACCCCACCCAGACCTGGGGGCCGAGGGGGCGCCCCACACCTCCCCTTCTCTCCAGTAAACACAGCCCCAACCACACTGCAGTTGTGATGCATAGCCCTGTGACCGGCCCGGCCAGGGCCTCTTGGGGGCCCTTCCTGTACCGCACCTACTACCCGTCCAACGTGGCCGCACCAGGCCTTGATATCCTCACTTCCTCTCCCTTCCTTCATTGCCTGCATTGCTGAAGTTATCTTCTCTCCTGGTCGGCTTGCTCGTCCTCTGCCCACCGCCCCCCCCCCGCCCCCCCCAGGCCCAGCCTCTCTAGTGCTGGCCTCAGGATGGAACAGAGCTCCTGGCCCTGAGTAGGAGCTCAGGAAACATTATGACTGTTGCTAATTAGAAGAGAACAACTAACAAAACATACCACAAATTTTTAATCACTAGAACTGTATGAAGTTAAGCCAGGACCCAATCAATAGCTTTTTGAGAGGCCATATGGAGACAGGACTGTCCCCTGCAGTATCCCCAGGGCCTCGTAGGGTCTCAATAAAGGCACTTGAGATGAATGTATAGGAATTGTCACGGAGGACAGCTTTTGCAGGTCTATCCTTGTGGGTCGCAGCCAACTTGGGCACTGACTTCCTATGCTCAGCAGTGACTTGTGGGCACCAGTCTCCCCTCTGTCACAGGAGCGTTGGACAATTCCGGGCAATGGAAGACACATTTAAAGTGTCAGCCCAGCCCAGACTGGTGTGGCTCAATGGGTTGAGCACTAGCCTGAGAATCAAAGAGTCACTGGTTTGGAGGACCCCATGGCACAACAGTAGCACATTTGACTCCAAAGGGCCACCAGTTCGATTCCCAGTCAGGGCACGTGCCTGGGTTGTGGACCAAGTTCCCAGTAGAGGGTGCTCGAGAGGCAATCAACCATACATTGATGTTTCCCTCTCTTCCTCCCTTCCCCTCTCTAAAAATAAATAAATAGATCTTTTAAAAAATAAAGTGTCAGCCCAGGCCTTGGACACAGCTATAGGCCACTGCAGGTTAGCTGTGCCCATGCCTTGCCATTTTACAGGTGAGAAAGGAGGGCCTTAGTGAAGGGCAGTATCTAATTTTGTTGTTATGATCATTTATTGTTATTATTCACCTCTTTATTCCCACTTACCCAGTTAGGGCTCCATACGTATACTAGGTGCTCAATAAATGTTGGCTGGACTGAATGAGTCCCTCCATCTTGGCCCCTGGGGTCTCAGAAAAGCAACCACATCAGAGAATAAACGTCTTTTTTTGTTTTTAATTGATAAGAAATCAGGCTAAAGTTGGGAGCAAGATGCTGAGAGCTGCTAGGAAGTGGGCGTTGGGGGGTGGTCAGGGAGCCGAGGAGTTGCTGGAGTCTGGACTGTCCCCTCTCCTGTGATTGGGGGCCCAGCTGTTACTCATCTCCCTTCAGAAGAGAAAGGACCTGGTCAGTAAAAATCCCTGCGTAAGTGGTCACAGCTGCTCTGCTTTTGCTGTACACATCCCTGCGGAGAAAGGAAAGAGGGCCTGAGGGGAGGAAAGGAAAGAAGGACTAGGGCCCTGGACTTGGGTCTGAGGGGAGAGGGACTGGAGGCCCAGACTCCTGGGTCTGAGAAAGGGGGCTGGGGGCGCGGACATCTGGTGCCTGGGATGGGGTGGGTGGGGCGATACCTTATTTTTTCATCTATGGAAGGCAGGTAGGTCTTCTCGTACAGGCCCTGGGCCGTTGTTCTGGCCGTATCCCAGTAACTATAAAGTGAGTCCTGCACCTGGGAGAGCAGCGAGGTGCTGTTGGCCCCATCTTCCTCGGACAGAGGGATCCCCTGGACTTCTGCAGGGGGGATGTGGGTTAGGAAAACCGAAGGGCCTACAGCAGCGGGAAGAGTGGGCAGGAAAGGAGAGGAGGGGACAGGAGCAGGGCCAGATGGGATCTGCCAAGGAAGGCGCTTAGGACACATCCCCCTTCTCACAGTCCCGCCTCCCCTGCCGATCACACTCACCAAATCCCAGTACCAGGAGGATGAGAAACAGAGCCAGGAAGTATCGGGTGCCCATGGTGTCAGAAGACCTGGAACACTGAGGAGGGTGGGGGGCAGGGCCACTGGAGGCATCTATTCCTGAGGCCTCTGCATTCAAAGGGAGGGGGCTGGGCTCCCCCTCTCCCACACCCCCACCCAAGTCAAGTCCCTCATGGGTTGGCTTGGGCCTCCCTGTCTAATGTTCCGTGATTGCAGTCCTGATTTTTGTTTTGTTTTGTTTTGTTTTTAAACTTTTTTTTTTAAGGTTTTAAAATTTATTAGAGAGAGAGAAATATCGATTTGTTGTTTCACTCATTCATGCAGCCCCTGATTGGCTCCTGTGTGTGCCCTGACCAGAGACTGAACCCACTACCGCGGCACGTTGGGACGGCGCTCCAACCAAACGACCCACCTAACCAGAGCCTCTACTCTTGATTTTAACATGATAACTCTACCATCCATTCATTCACTCAAGAAGCATTTCTTGAGCACCTACTATGTGCCAGGGACAGCTCTGGGCCTAGCTGTCAACACAGCGACAGCCCTGCTCTTAGGAAGCCGACATGAGAGAGAAGTCCCATTAACAAATATTAAATGAGCCCTGGCAGCGTAGCTTAGTTGGTTAGAGCGTCACCCCGATACGCCATTATCCCCAGTCAGGGGAGCCAACCGACAAATGCATAAATAAGCAGAACAACAAGATGATGTTTCTCTCTCCCTTCCTCTTTCTCTAAAAATCAATCAATAAAAAATTATCTAAAAGAAACAAATATTAAGTGAGAAAAATGTAGTGTGTCACCAGGAGGCAAGTGCTCTTGGGGTGGGGGTCGCGTAGGCTGAGGAAGCATCCGCAGAGCGGGGCATCGAGGCTGAGACCCACCCGCGCAGGGACTCGTGCCCTGGGCTCAGTAAGGGGCCGCTATTTAAAGAGCCGTATTCCCACCGCCCTCCTACCCCGTTCGCCCCCTCTGCCTGTGTAGCGGTGACGAGGTTGAGATCTGACCCCAGAGGGGGCCCAGCAGGGACAAACCTTCTACGATTCTGAATTCTGTGTCTCTAACCCAGGAATCTAACATCATGACTCTTGAACAGACTTTGCCCTCCCTCCCCCATTGACTCCTTCTCCCCACCCCCACCCCCCAATTTCGGTCCCTCTCTTACCAGACTCTGGCGGGCAGTCCTCACCTGCTCCCGAGGGCAGAGAAAGGCTTTATAGCTCCTGGAATCCACCACCCCGCCACAGCCGCCACCACTGCCTGGTTGCCTAGGCCAAAGTCCAGGCCAATAGAGCCACCGAGGGGGTGGGGTGGGGGCACAGAGGGCAGTGACATCCCCTGAGGTCAAGCCACAGAGAGCCCCCACGCTGCAAATTCACCCCTGAGAGAGGCTGGATGGGGGGTGTGGAGGGGCTGGGGGCTTCGGGCGCCCACCAGGAATAGGATCTGGGGTCTTCACTGCATGGGAGGTAAAGGCAGAGCTATGAAGGAGGGGTCCCTGTGGGGTCCTGCAAACCCCGCCTCCTCTCCAGCGTTTAGCCTCCATCTCCAACTGAGGAGTCCGAAGTCTCCCAACCCCCACAAGCCCAAAGCGGGTCTAAGGACGGAGGGGGGACATTCCCCTTGAGTCCTTCCCCTCAGGACCCCGACTGCTCCTCCCTTGTCAGCTGTCATTTCCTCTCTTCATTAACTGCTGGGGGTGCATGGGGTGCCGTCATCTCTGGCTTCACCGAGGACAGATTGGGACAGGGACACAGATAAGAATTTCTTTATTGTGGAGGCTGTGAACACTTTAAACCTAGTCCCTGTTCCCACAGAGAAGCTGGGGACACAGGCTGTGGGTCTTGTTCAGGAAGCTGTCCTTGGAGCTGCGGAGCCAGGCCCAGGTGCGGGGACCCAGGTCCTTCAGGTGGTCCTCATAGTAGGTCTGCGCAAAGCCCTTGACGGCTGTGGGGACCCTGTGGGACAGGGGATGTCACAGTTGGGAACCCAGATTCCCCCAAGGCTTTCCTTCATTCATCCCCTCCTCCCTCGGACCCGGGAGTCCCAGCCCCCAGCCCCTCCTCCCTCGGACCCGGGAGTCCCAGCCCCCAGCCCCTCCTCCCTCGGACCCGGGAGTCCAGACTTCAGTCCCTCCTGTGTACACTCACTGAAACCACTGCCACGTATCTCTGGTCCTTTTCACCAGTGGCTCCATCAACCCCTTCACCTTGTCCACCAGGCTCCAGGATCTACTTGCCAGCCCTGGAGCAGCACTCGGGGAACTCGTAAGCACTTCCTCCTGGCATTCTGGGTGTGACCGATGGCAGACTGGATAGGCTGCACCCCAGAGCCCTTCCTCCTCCTTCTCCCTCCCTGCACACGGTCACTGTCACTGCTAGGGGCCCAAGGGCAGCCCTTTGCCTGTCCTCTCACCACCGGCCTTCACCTCCTCATAGGTCCCTCTCCCCTTTGGTCGTCTCCTTTCTCCTTGTGTGCCCACGGCCCCTCCTGCCACCCCTCTGTCGGCCCGCGGTTTTCTCCTCAGCCTGTCACCCCACCTCTCGGACCCGAGTCCCTCCTCGTGCCTCCTTCACCGATGACCTTGCTGCCCCTCTGTTTTCCTATGACCCCACAGAGAGCACAGGGGGACTGCCCGCCCCCCAGGGGTGGTGGTTGGCACGGCTGTGCTGTCCCGGTGGGCCTCGAACGTCCTTGCACACACCTGTTGGTCCTGCATCCGTGCACCTGGGCAAACTCCCCCTCCCCACAGAGAGGAGCCACCATGCAGGTACACAGGTACCTGTGTGTACAGAGGTACCCACGTGACCTGCGCTATGCCCTTGGCCAATAACTTAACCTCTTCTAGACTCAGTTTCCCTCTCAGTAGACTTGAATAGTGATAGGACCTACCTCATCGGGTTAGTGTGAGAAGTCAGAGTGAACACGGGTAAAGCACTTGCCATGGTGCCTGGCACAGTGTAGGCACCAGTTTGTTAACCCTGTAAATGCATGTGCACAACCCGTATGCACTCGCTCTGGTGCATGTAGACACCCTCACATGTTCCCACACACTCAAAGCGTTTGCATAAAAACCCCAATAAAGGCCCTGGCTGAGCAGCTCAGTTGGTTAGAGCGTCGTCCTGATATACCAAGGTTGTGGGTTCGATCCCTGGTCAGAGCACATGCAAGAATCAGCCAATGAATGCTTAGGCAAGTGGAACAACAAATCAATGTTTCTCTCTCTCCCTCTCTCAAATCAATTTTTTATTTTTATTTTTGAAGATTTTATTCATTTATTTTTAGACAGAGGAGAAGGGAGGGAGGGAGAGAGGGAGAGAAACATCAATGTGTGGTTGCCTCTCACACCCCCCTGACCAGGGACCCAGCCTGCAACCCAGGCACATGCCCTGGCTGGGAATTGAACTGGCGACCCTTTGTTTCTCAGGCCAGTGCTCAATCTATTGAGCCACACCAATATTTTCAAATCAATATTTTAAAAAAGGAGCCCATAAAGACACACATGGGCACATATGTATATACATACATGTTCACAGACACATTTACCAGGACAATATACTCATGCCTACACACACACAAAGGCACATGCGTAACCACTGGCATTTGTTCCAACCCCACATACACACTTCACACACAGCCGCCACCGACACACACTGCCAGACACGCACACCCATCTGCACACCAAGGGCACACGAGCTCTGTACCCTTCTGTCTACAAACTGCACCGCTTGTCATGGTCGCGGTCGCCCCGTGCCGCTGCAGGGCCCCCTCACCCGCCCGCCTGCTCCTTCTCACCCACAGCACAGGCCAGGAGCACAGCGCAGAGGCCGAAGCAAAGGGAGGGCAGGGCCCGGGGCCTGCATCCAGGGAGTGACATTTCTGGGGGTTCTGTCTCTCTGTGCCCGGCTCCCTGGGCTGGGGGAGGGGAAGGCTGCGCTGAGCTGAGCCCTCCCCTGGCCACTTCCCCACCCCTTTGGCCTGCACTTCCGGGAGAGGGACCTAGATTGTAGTGACAATCAGAGGCTCTACCCGCCCCCGCTGGCCTCCCTCCTTCCAACGTTCCCAGTTGCCTGGCATGACAGGGGAAAACAGAACATTCTTTGGCCTCCTGTGCTGAACCAGGTTCAAATCCTGGCTGTGCCTCATGTGACAGTCCCCACTTCTGCCTCAGTTTCTTGCTCTGTAAAATGGGCCAACAATCCATGTGTCAGGCAGGATACTAATTCAATGAAATGCTACAAGGTGTTAACACAGGCAAGGGAGATGGTTACAGGTCATAGTTGTTTATGATTATTTCTTTCATCTCTGACGTCTCTTGGCTATAGGGCCAGACAGGCCCTCACCGTGTGGCCTGGGCAAATGCATCCCCTTCTCTGGGCCTCCGTGTTTTCATCTGTAAAATGGAGATGATAATAACCACCTGCCTCGCAGAGTCCGTGAGGAGGCTGGGTTAGGCCTGAGGCCCGGGAGGCAAAGTTCCAGGTGCACATAGTAGGAGGTTGTCCAACGCTAGACAGAAAAAAAAACGCGCCCTTTTTTCCTGGAGGACCGGCTACAAGCCAGGGCCCATGGTTTGGCCAGGGGACTGCAGGCTGATGTGTTTGGTCTAGGGTTGCCCGATAAAGTGCAGGATGCCCAGTGACATTGGAATTTCAGATAAATAACGCATTTTATTTCTAGTATAAATATGTCCCATTCAGCATTTGTGAATTACAGTAAAGGTTATCTGCTGTTTCTCTGAAATTCAGGTCTCACCAGGCGTCCTGTATGTGTAGTTGGAAAGTCTGACACGCCCAAACCAACCACAACTTGAATGACCGCACAGAGCCGCCCTGACCCCGAGGCCTCCGGCAGAATGCTGTCCGTCCCGGCGGCCCCAGCGCAGCCTCTGCCCGCAGTAGGTGTTCAACAACTGATCCTTGGAGTTCCTCGTTAACAACAACCAGCAAGATAAAACTTCCTACAGTTTTTTGTTTAATCCTCACAGAGAATATTTCTTCACTGCTGAGAGAGAAAGGGAGAGAGAAACATGGATGTGAGAGGGAAACGCAGACCAGCTGCCCCCCAGGATACACCTGGACTGGAAATTGGACGCGCCCAAATGAGGGATGGAGCCCGCAACCCAGGCATGCGCCTCAGCTGGGAACTGAATCCGCAACCTTTCGGATGTGGGACGATGCTCCAACGAACGGAGCCACATTGGCGAGGCCAACTTTTATTTATTTCTTAAAACCTCCTGGAGTTTCTGTTTGGGATGATGAAAAAGTTCCAAAAATGGATAGTGGTGATGGTTGTACAATATTGCGAATGTACTTGATGCCACTGAACTATGCCCCTTCAAAATGGTTGAAATGGTACATTTTATGCTATATAGTTTACCATAATAATGATTTTTAAAAAGGAGAGAGAGCCCTGGCTGATATGATTCAGTCGATTGAGTGCCAGCCTGTGAACCGAAAGGTCACGGGTTCGATTCGCAGCCAGGGCACAGGCCTGGGTTGTGGGCCAGGTCTTCAGTTGAGGGCGTGCAAGAGGCAAGCGATCATTGTATCTCTCGCACATCGATGTTTCTCTCCCTCTCTTTCTCCCTCCCTTCTCCTCTCTCTAAAAAGAAATAAAATCTTTAAAAAGAAGAGAGAGAGAAACTCACCATGCACTGTATCATGAGAAGCAACGTGGTTTGGGGTTCAGAGCCTGGCTCCACGTGTTCTGCCTGTGTGACCTGGTGCGAGCTGCTTAACCCCTCCGGGTCTGTTTCTTCCCCCATGAGGGCAGTTACGGACTGCCTGCCCGGGAAAGCAAAGGAGACTGTTTACATAAAGTGCTGCAAGCAGTGCCAGATATGCCACAAAGGTGCTCGCTCGGTGTCAGCTGCTGTTTATCGAGCTTGTATTTCCCGAGCACCAGGCGCCTGAGCAGGGTTTTAGCAATTAACTCGTGAACGGACTCACAACAGTCCTACGAAATGGGCTTCTTTATTATTCCCATTTTGAGGATGAGGAAACTGAGGCTCCCACAGTGGGGGTAAGGCCACTTACCCATGGCTCCCCAACCAGCAAGTGGCGAATGTGACCCCGGCCATCCCACATTACCTAGCCAGGACAGCCTCCGTCCCCCTCCCTACCTGACTCCTAGAGGCCAGGAGGGAGGTTGGAGCAGGGCAGGGTGGCCCTGCGGGCGGCCTCTGACCCCTGCCCCAGCTCCAAGGTCAGTGTGGGCTGTTTGCTGTTTGCTTCTTGCAATGTTTGCCCACCTCAGGGACAGGAACAGGCTGAAGGTCGTACAGGGTGGCCCTCAGAAGCAGCTCCAAACAACTGCGCAGGCGAGGGGGTGTGTTTTGGGGGCAGAGAGGTCACGGGGAGGGTGTGGGGGCTGCGATTTGCAAATGGCTGGCCCGGAGACCCCAGTGCGTCGTGCGCCTGCCCCCAAGCATGGGCTCCCCTCGAAAGCAGAGTGTACACTCGCTCTGTGCGCTGCTGCTCCAGCTTCTTTCTCTGTCCTGTGATTCTCCTGGGCCTCCAGCCTGGGTCTGGTTTTGTTTTTTTAATCCTCACCAGAGGATGATTATTAATTTGAGGGAGAGAGAGAAACGTCAATCGGTTGCCTCCCGTACGTGCGCCTGCTGGGGATCAAATCCGCAACCTAGGTATGTGCCCTGACAGGGAATTGAACCCACAGCCTTTCGGCATACAGGACGACGCTCCAACCTGCTGAGTCACCCGGCCAGGGGCCAGCCTGAGTGTTTCTGAGGGGCTTATGAAAAACCTTGAAAAACAAACTGGCTCCAAAATGCTAGAAAATTGACCAAGTAAAAATTAGGAATTGTTCTTACAAGTAAAGTGGTTGAGAATATACCCGGTGCCCACTAGCCAACCATAGCGCAAACCTCATCTCCAACTGCTGAACATGACAGGGACAAGGTCTGCGGCCGGCCGTGCCACGGGGCGACTCCAGGAAGAGGAGAGCCGGCGGAGCGAGAACAGGGCCCCAGGAGTCCCCACCCGAGGGCAAAGCCCCGCTCTCCCCACTCCGGTCTGCGCCATTGCACCGGCGGCTTCAGCCTCCTCTACCTGTTTCTTCCTTGGAAACACAGGGTCAGTACCAGCATCTACCTCAGAGGGGTTTTGTAAACATATAATTTTTAATTTTTTTTTCTATTTAGCAGACTTGTTTCACCAGATATTATTGAACCCCTGCACTATGCCCTGTCCTGGGGACACACGGTGGGGACGACAGCCTTGGCCCTGTCCTCCTGGGGCTCAAAGTCCAGCGGGGGAGACAACCCTCACCAGAGAGTGACAACCCAGACTGGGCAGTGTTGTTACAGGCGTTTGACTCAGCGGGGGGTGAAGGAGGGCTTCCCGGAGGAAGGGACCTCATGCTGAGACTTGGCGGGTGGGGAACTGCACGGGTCTCTTGCGGGGCTCTCTCCCAGATCCTCTTGCATTATCCATTGAGAGTGTAATGAACACCTGCTGTGAGCATGGTGGTGAATCAAGCCCCCCTTCCCTGTCCCTTTTCTTGGGCAGCCCGCCAGGGAAGAGCTGTACCCCCAGGTTGGGGGGTCTCATCCAGTTCTCCACTTCCTGGCACCTCTCCGGACCTCAGTGCCCTCATGGGATCGCCAGGGCCCAGCACGCAGGGCTCTTGTGAGGATTTTCTTGACATCACGAAGTCCGGAGTCCCCAGCACAGAGGATGTGCAGTACATTTGAGCTCTGCTTCTCTCTTTTACCCCTCACCCCCAGCCTGTCCCAGAGCGCCGGAAAGAAGCACTCAGAACTCTATGTAGGATTTTTATTGGTGCCGGTGGTGCTGGTGGAGGGACATGGGGCGCAACGGAGAAAGTCCTTGGCACAGGGGGCGGGGGCGGGGGGAATTCTAGAGCCCCCTCCCGGGTCACAGCCGCAGAGGAGGGGGGCAGCCCTCCCAGTGCTCAGGAGAAGGTATTTGTGATTTTCTCTTTTGCTTTGCTGAACGTCTCAGAAAGCCAGGTCCTGTGGGGAGAGACAGGGGTGGGGGTGTCACTGAGTTTTGCGTCTCCCGGGGTGCCCGTATCCTGCCTGGGGCCTCCCCCATCTGTGAGTGGCCCAAGTTCTGTGCCTCAGTTTCCCAGATGCGCCAGAGCTCCTTAAAGTCAAAACCTTTGCCTTGGCCTGGGTTTCAAGGCCTGCTGTCTCGTGCTGCCAACCCTTTCTCTAAGCCTGCTTACGCCTTGGTGTCCCCTATTCACTCAAGAGCACGTTCCAGAACCCCTGCCTTTGCCCAGGCTGATCCACTAGCAGGGGGGCCAACCGCCCCTTGATTACCTGCAGGTCTTCCTGCCTCAGAAGCTTGGCACTCACCCTCCACAGGGAACAGTCTTCCCAAATTCCTCAGCCTGGCTGGATTTTCCTAATCGTTGCATCTCAATTTGTATTTTAAAATTTTTATTGATTGGTTTTAAGAGGCAGAGAGGAAGGGGGCGGGGAGTTGAGAGAGAGGGAGAGAGAGAGAGAAACATAGATTTGTTGTTCTACTGATCTCTGCACTCATTGGTTGGCTCTTGTATGTGCCCTGACCAGGGATCAAACCCCACAACCTCAGCGTATTGGATTGACGCTCTAACCAACTGAGCTCCCTGGCCAGGGGTGGGTCTCAATTTAAAGTGTTATCTCTTCCCTGGCCAGGTGACTCAGTTGGTTGGAATGTTGTTCTGTACACCAAGAGGCTGAGGATTCAATCTCTGGTGGGGGCATGTATGGGAGGGATCCAATTGATGTTTCTCACATTGATGTTTTTCTCTCTCTCTCTCTCCCCACCTTCCTCTCTCCCTAAAAATCAATAAACATATCCTTGGGTAAGGAAAAATAAATAAATAAATAGGTTTTAAAAAAGCGAGACAATTATAGATGCCTACCATAAACATTTTTTTAAGAATAAAGTGTTATCTCTTCAGAAAAGACCCGGTCACCAAGTTTACAAAAGGCCTGTGCTTGGCGGTTTATACCCACCCTGTTTATCTTCTCAGTGCTTAGCTCTCGCTGGACTAATCTCCTGGGAATTCACAGATTTAGCGGCTGTTCTCCCTGCTCTCGCCCTGCGGCCCCCCCCCCCCCCAGAACAGCAGATCTCTGCTGGCTGGGACTTGATCTTGTTCGTCACTATCACTCCCCCACTTTGGAACAGTTCTTGGCACTTAGCAGATGCTCAATAAATATCCGTTTGTGAGTAGGTGATTCTCTAACTCATCACACGGAGCCAATGTCAGTTAAATGCTGTGTTGAGCATTTACAGTGTTCCAGGAGCTCTGCAAATCCTCTCGTTTACCTCCCTCCAGAACCATCCATTTTACAGGTGAGGAGACTGAGGCTCATGGTCACACAAGAAGAGGGTCTTTGGTGCCTATGGACGCAGGTCTGTCCAACCCCCAAGCTTGGGTCCTTCACTACCACCCAGGACTACCTTTCTACAGTGGCTGGATGGGAGCATCAGGGAGCCCGTCCCCCCAAGTCTGAGCACCCTGAAAACCAGCTGTGTGACCAAGGATTTTAAAGCTTTTCCCAGTCTTAAGTGATACACCCCTGCTCTCCCACGCCCTGGGAAGGGTCCTAACCAGGTCTTCTTAGGAATGTCACTCTGTTTGATGTGGTGGATGGCTGCGCGGACTTTCTCCTCCACGGTGCTTTTGAAGTCCTTCAGCTTGTCCGGGATGCTCTCCAGGGTGCTGGAGAGGTCTGGGGTGGCCTGGGCTGGAGCTGGGCCTGCCCGGGAGAGGGACAGGAGCGCGACCATTTCAGTATCGGGAGCCCTTCGACGAGCTCCCAGGGATGGAAAAGGAGACCCTGGGATGAGATTCTTGGGGATCATGGTGTTAGAATGGGGAGGGTGCAGGAGCCACCAAGATGGTGTTCGAGCGGCCGAGTTTTGCCACCCGCTGGACTGCCTTTGAGAGAGCCACCGGGCCAGGTGGTGGTGGGGGATGCTCCGTGGGCAAAGGCGAACCAGGGCACTGGCGGGGCCCCAGAACTCGCAGGGGTCCTCTCAGCCTGGGCCCCGGGCCCGTGGCCAGATTCATGCTCCCAAATCCCAAACTCCCAGATTCTCCTAGCCTACCCACTCTTACCTTCCAAAACCATCAACAGAGCCACCACCAGGACTGGGAGCGACAGCAGGAGCCTCATGGCTGGGCCGCAGGGTGCTCTGGAGGCGGGGTGCGGGTGGGGGTGAGCAGGGGCGCCCCTCCTCCCTCCCCCCAGGTTCTTCCACCCCCTTTCTGTGCTCTTGGTGTGTGCGGAGGGTCCCTCGGGGGCACTGAGCACCAACCTGAGTCAGTCTCTGGACAGGAGAGCACACGTGGCAAGAGCCAGCCTGGCCTGGCCGTGCCTTTATCGGCTGGGGGCGGGGCGGGCCAGGTTAATCTCCCTCCCCCTGAGCCTCCCTGGCGCCTGCCTCCCTGTGCCCACCCACCTTTTCCTCTGACACCCCTGGCTGGTGGGGCTGAGGGTCAGGTGGGGCACAGGCAAGTCCCTGAGCCTGACTGTTGAGGGACCTCAGCCTGGGCCTTTTGCCCCTCCCCTCCTGCCTAACACGGGGGTCTCTCAGGAACCCTCTGTTACTTAGTAACTCAATTCACATTGTGTCCCCAGGCCACCTCTTCCATCCCCTCCCCCTTCCCAGCAAGCCTCTTCAGCTCAAAAACTCTGACTCCATGTCCCTGGGTCCCCCCACACCCCTCCAGCCTTCCGTTCAGACTAGCCCTCGGAGCCCCCATCTCCTCGCATCTGGGGGCCTCTCAGGCCTCTCTGGACTCTTTCTGGGTCTCCACTTCGCAGGCCCCGATCACCCTTTTGGGGAGGGGTCTTTTCAGTCGGTCTAAACCACACAGCCTGGTCGGCAGGGCTCCCCGCGTGCGCCCCTCGCGTATTCCACCAGGCCCCGCCCCCTTCCGTTGCCCCCACCGCTCTCCAGGCCGCAGGGCCTCTGTAAACACTCCATCTGCTCTTCTTCATCCTTTCAGGCGCCTCCTGGCACCAACCCCCCTTCGGCCCCTGCCTTTCCCAGCCCTACTTCCGTCCCCCGGGGCTGGAGTCCAGGGCTCCTTCCCTGCTTCTCCACTGCCTTTGACCGCCAGTGACCCCGGGCAGCCGAGGGGAGGGTGGCCCCAGGCCCCAGACTCTAGGTTGGTTGGCCTTGTGCCCCCACAACCACGTGTCAGCCGGAGGGTGAGGGCGGGTGGTTGTGAAAGCGACACACAGACCGACCCTGGCGAGGTTGCAACACCCCTCTGGCCGGCTCAGCAGCTGCCAGCCCCTGGGAGCCCCCGGCTGTCTCCCCAGACATCTGCTTTCCTCGTGAGCCCAGCCCTCCCCACACGTCCACCCCGACGTCTGCTCCCCTCCCCCACCCCCAAAGCAGAACAGCTTTGCTCTTTTGGTCTCACCCTCGCTTCAGCTATACAGGTGTTTGGTTACAACCGGGGAAACTGAGGCTCAGTCAAGCACATTCAAAGGCAAAATGTGGGTGTGCTCTTTGTCCCTCCCCTTCCCAGACTCCAGGTTGCCCCTCAGCATTCTTGCTGGGGTCACTCCCTGCGCCACGGCACCCCCTGCCAGCCTCTGTCTCCCCGAAGCTCCTTCCCGGACCTCGTCCCACCTCTTAGAACTGACTGGGGCTTCAGGGAGGCTGGACAGGTCTCTGCTCGCATGTCTTTCTGTGTGAGGAGTCAAAATTCATCCCTTCAAGCGGAGGGCATGGCTGACGGTGCCTCCCTCATGGCCATCTGGGGACACTGGGGCCCTAAGAGGGTTCAGCCCCAGCTCCAGGGCACATAGTACAATAAACACATCAGCAGCAGGCTGGGCGAGGACTAGGACCCTCCCCCCCGACCCCCCCTGAGCCCACGGACCCTTCCCCTCCTCGCTCAGCCCTTGAACGAGTTGAGAAACCCAGGCTTCCTTGCAGACACACAAGCGCAAGCCCTGGCCTGTCCCCTGTGGTGGGAACCCTTGATCCCCTCCTCGGAGACCCAAGGGGGTGGGAGGGGAGGGTCCCCACAGCTCCATCCAGGGCTTTAGCCCTCACCCCTCCGTCGACTCCTGACTCAGTCTCCCAGCCCCGGGCTTCAGGGGGCTGTGCAGACCCTCCCGCGAGGCTCCTCTCCCTTCTCTCTCCAGCCAGGACCCAGCGGCCGGGAGAGAAGGAATGAGAACGAGGGTAGGGAGACAATGAAGCACAGCTCGGAAGGAAGCGACTTGTGAACCCAGAGGGAAGGAGAAAGGCAAAGTGCTCAAGTGCCGCAGATTGGCAGAGAGGACAAATCCTTGTGCAGGAGGAAAGAAAAAAACAAAGATGCTGGGCTGGGGCAAGAGAAACCTGAGGGGCACGGGGAAGATAAAAGATAGAGGTGGGGAAAACAGCAGGGCAGAAAAATGAAGCCACTCAGCAAGAGTAGGACAGACAGAGGCCAGGAGAGGGAAGCGGGCAGAAGCAGGTAAGACTGGACGGAGCCCTGACCGGTGTGGCTCAATTGGTTGGGCTTCGTCCCACAAAGTGTAAGGTCACTGGTTCAATTCCCAGTCAGGGCACATGCTTGGGTTGCGGGTTCGGTTTCTGGTCAGGGTTGGGATGCGTATGAGAGGCAACCGATTGATGTTTCTCTCCCTTTTTCTACCACCCTTCCCCCTTCTAAAAATAAAATAAAATCAGAAGAAAAAAAAAATGCTGGATGGAGAAAGGGGGAGAAAATGAGTGGGAAAAATAAAAATGGCCTAATAATGGCAGTGGATTCAGGTCTTTTGAGTCCTGACAACTCTGTGAAGCAGGTATGATGAAGCTGGGCAGACGCAGGCTCAGAGCCATTGCTTTCGCCTGCAGTAGCCGGGGGCTACTGCGGGGTGTGACCCAGGGGTGGATGTGTTCCAGAGGTGTCCTCCCTCAGGGTCGGCATGGCAAGAGGCAGAGGGGAAAGAGTGAGTGGCAGAGAGAAGCAGAGACAGAGAAAGGCGAAAACCTCAGAAAGGGGCAGAAGGAAGCAGAGACCGAGAGTTAAAAGAGGAGAGCAAAGAAATCGGCATGCACACAGCCAGAGAGGCCGGGCCTGAGAACCACGTGCGGAGAGGGAGGACCACGTGCCGAGGCTGGGGCTGTGAGACATCACACTCAGACGCCCAGCTGCTGCTGCGAAGCTTGCTGAAACTTTATTAAGCCAGGGCCCAGCAGGGGGACAGTGGGTACAGGGACAGGGCCCCTGCTGGCTGGAAGATGCAGGGGGCACGGGGTGGCAGGAGTGGGGTCTTCCAGGCCTCATGGCCAGCAGGCACTCAGTGATTTTCCTCGGGCACAGAGGGGGAGTTGGTGCCAAAGGTCGACTGCACCTTTTCTACCAGCCCCGCCCACTGGCGCTGCATGTCTTCCACCAGGGGCTCGAACCAGTTCTTGACGCGGGTCTGGAAGGTCTCCATCTGCAGGCGCATCTGGTTGGCCTGCTCCTCCACCTTGGCCTGGAACTGCTCCATCCGATCGCGCATGTCGTCCAGGTGGTCGCGGGCCTGGCTGCCCACCAACTCCAGCTTTCCGCGCAGCCGCTGCCCCCAGGCCTCTGCCTGCTCCCGCAGCGGCTGGCTGGCGCTGATGGCCCGCACTTGGCTCTGCTCCATCAGCGGCCCAAGGCGCTCGCGGATGGCGCTAACCCCACGCTCCGCACCCTCGCGGGCCCCAGCTTGGTAGAGGGCCAGGCGCTTCTGTAGGTCTTCAGCATCGCGGAGCAGCCGCTTGCGCAGCCTGCGCAGTTGGGTGGCCAGGCGGGCCCGAATGTCGTCGAGGTTCTGGCCCATCGCGGTCTGTACCTCGCTGCGGTACTGGGTCAGGCGGGTGCGCAAGTCCTCCATGTCCGTCTGCAGCCGGGACTGTGCTGCCTGCAGCTCCTTGGACAGGCGGGCGTGCGTCTCCTGGGCCATGGGGCCCAGCTGCTTCTCCAGGTCTTCCTTGTAGGTCTTCACCTCCTTCATGGTGTTCTCCATCAACACCCTGCAGGCAGAGAGGGTGAAAGGGAGGTGTGCGTGGAAACAGAAACAGGACAGAAGATGTGGTGGAGGGAGGGCAAGGCGTGGGGACGGAGGAAGAGAGACCCAAAAGAGGAGAGGTCAAGAGGAGAAAACCAAGACAGACAGGAGCAGCGATGAGCAGATGAGCTACGATGATGTTGGAAGACAAGGAGGAACAGGCCAGAGACAGGAAGAGCTGAGAAAGCATCAGAGCGAGTTAAAAGCAAGAGTCCAAAATAGAAAGAGGAAGCAAAAAACAAAGAGACCCCCTGCGAGTTCCTGACCGGTGGATCCAGAAGGAACTGCCCACCAGGAGGGTGAGGGGCCTGGGCAGGAACACTCACGTCAATTCCTCGGTGACCTGGGTGCCAAGCAGCTCCTCCTGGGCCTTGTTAGACAGCGTCTGCACCCAGCGCAGGTAATCCCAGACCCGGCTCAGCGCCTGCTCCCAGGGCTGGTTGTCCAGCCCCCACTCTGGCTCCTGCCCCACCTTCACCTCCTCCGTTTCGGCCTGGCATCCTGCGTGGACCAAGGTCATGGCTGTGAGGGTCCCCTGCCCTCTCCAGGGCCCACAGTAGGTGCTCCACAAATGCTGCTGTGCTCCTGTAGAGCACTGGTGGGCAGGGAGGGGGTGGAAGGACCGCGGTATGTTCCATCTCTCGACAAGCATTTACTGAGTGTCTGTGTGGGCTCCATGCTGGGGCGATGGAGAGTAAAGATAATCGCAGCTGACTCCTGCGTAGTGCTCACCGCCTGCCTGACCGCACGTATTAGAAACTGTTATAACTCCCATTTTAAGGAGGGGAAAACTGAGGTCCAGGGAGACTTCCAGGGCTGCTCAGAGCCAGGGAATGTCAGGAGAGGCCTCAGAACCAGGCCTCTTCTCAAGGAGGAGGGACACAGGGATGGAACGGGTCAGAGGGCACAGGTGAGGGCGGGAGGGGGAAGGGCAGAGAACCTGTGCAAACCCCGACCTGTACCTGCCAGGAACGCGACCACCAAGGCAGCCCACAGAACCTTCATCTTCAGAGCAGGTTAATCTGGGGTGGGAGAAGCTGTCAATCAGTAGCCTGTGGCAACTCCCCCCACCCAAAGCCCCACCCACTGGGTCCAGGCCTTCAAAGCCTCACTTAGCCCCAGATCGGCATCACCTTAATCCCATCAGTAACCTTTATCGAGTGGCCCCTCTGTTGTCTAACTCCCTCATTGTCTTCTCCTATCTCCTCATCCCCAGGTCGGCCTCCAGGCCAAAATTCCTTCCCCTTCTCCCCGGGTTCAAATTCCACTCACCCCTCCTCCTGGAGTTCCCTGTGGGCCCGGACTGGGTGTTCCAGTCTCACATTCCGCACCCTACTTCCACATTCTAAGCTCCAGCTTCACATCTAAGCGCCATCTTCCACAAATTAGCTAATTTAGCCCTCAGTTATTTATTTGTAAATATTTTATTTATTTAGCTTTCAGAAAGAGGGGGAAGGCCCCTGGCTGGTGTGGCTCAGTGGATTGAGTGCTGGCCTGCGAACCGAAGGGTTGTTGCTTCGATTCCAGTGGGGGGGTGGGGGTTGAGTGAGAGGCAACCACACACTGATGTTTCTCTCCCTCTCTTTCTCTGAAAATAAATAAAACTCTTAAAAAAAAAGAAAGGGGAAAGGAGGGAGAGAAACATCGACGCGTGAGAGAAACATTGATCCGATGCCTCTTGCTCGCCCCCAACGGGGGACGTGGCCCACAACCCAGGCGTGTGCCCTGATGGGGGATGGAACCGAAGACCTTCCAGTTTTCAGGACGACACCCAACCCTCATTTAAAAGTCCCCCTTCAGTCAGCGCTCCACCTACCCCACCACCATCGCCACCCCCCCCAAGCCTCCAGTTAATGGAGATCTGAGGACGAAGTGGGCACCCAGGAGGTGCTCAATAAATGGGTGACAATTCGTGGGCTCCTGCTATGGCTCATCTGGCTCTTTCACAGGTCCAGGTGCTCCCCGCAGTTTCACCTCTAGCCCTTCCAGCTCCGTCGGGACGGGACGGAGCCTCTCTGCCCCACCCACCTGAGGTCGCAGCCTCTAGCCTCAGCCCCAGTTCCTGCTTTTGTCCAGACTAATAGTTCGGTCACCTCCTCCTCCCCAGCTGGTCCCCTACAGCTACAGCGGCCCTGGGCTGGTCTCTGGGTCCCCAGTTTTGCTTCTCACCGGCTCCTGGGCAACCACCAGTCTTTCGCCTCCGCTCTGGCTGAGTAGGACTCAGGGATCCCAGACTCCTCCAATTATAGGGCTCCCCCTGCCCCGCCCACTCCTCCAGGGCTAGGGCGAGCTGGGCCAGCCCCCAGTCACGAGGTGGGCTGTTCTCCCCCTTCACGCAGCGGGGAGGGGAAAGGAGGTGGGACTTGGGAGGCCCTGTGACGCCCCCAGCCCCCAGGAGGGGAGGTGACATCTCACCCAGAAACTAGGCGCCCTCTTCTCTTGTGGGGGACTGGGCATGGCAGGTGAAGGGACAGGCAAGCCCCTGGATGACTACAATTTGGAGAGGAGGCTGGAGGCCAGAATCTTGGGTCGGAGGGCGCTGGGGACTGGGACTCCTGGGTCTGAGGGAGAAGGGAACTGATGGCAGATATTAAGATGGGAGGGGTTGGGGAGAACGTAATGCTTCTGGTAAAAGCCGAGGTGCTGAGAGTGAAAGCTGGGTCTTAATCTTAGCTCCCTCTCTGGCTGTGACTTTGGGCAGAGATGAGCGCCACAGTGAGCCCCTGTCCACATTTGTGAATTGAAAATCCAGCGCAAGCACTGTGGATTCCAGAAGCTGCCGGAACACGGCGCCTTCCACGGGGCTCGGGGTGTTTGTGCTGCCTGGCCAGGACGGGAGGCCCTGGAACCGAAGTGCCCAGCCTGAGTCTGGGCTCTGTCGGTTGCCATCCGTGTGACCTTGGGCAAATGACCAAATCTCCCTGAACATCCAGTTTCTTGGTCCACAAAACCAGGGAAATAGCTGTGCTTGCACCATCGTTCAGTGATGCAAGAAGCTACAGTAAGTCCTCACTTAACCTTGTCAATAGATGGTTCTTGGAACTGCGGCAAAACGTTTCAACGAAGCCAGTTTTACCAGGGGGTTATTAGATATAAACAGGCGTTAAGTTCCTACGGCATCTCAATATTGTAAGGAAATGAACAAAATGTGATCGACAACTGCTGCACTCTATGTTCGAAGCACTGAGAACACCCGGTGGGTCCTGTGTTAGAGCTGACTGCTGTGATTAGCCGTAACGAGCGCTCCAACCCAGCCACCTCTGTCGCCGCTGTTACTTGAATCCAGCTGTTGTTTCACCAGGTTCAGAGTCGAGGTGGATAGCCAGGCCGCACAGGAGGAAGGGGAGGCGCTGGGATTGGATTCCATGTCAGGGGAGGCCAAATGCCTGGTCCCAGGAAGAGGGCCTTAATGTCAGCCAAGCCTGTTTGTTTTGGTCTCAGAAGGTGCCGACAGGGAGTGGGTGTTGTGGCTTCCCCAGGCAATAAGGGCTCGTTTCTTCTGCCTGGCAGCCTTCCTTCCCTGCCCTTGGGTACATGTGTGGGTGGCAGACAGGGTTTCAGTTCCCATCTGGAAGAGTCCAGGGTGTTTACCTGAGCCCTAGGTGGGCCAACTGATCCCTCTTCCTCCCCAGCCATCAGATACCTGAGCCCCAGGTGCGCCAGCCTCCGCCCCTCAGTCCCAACCAGCCAGAGGCTCCAGCCCGTCCCCCCCAGCCCGGAGTCCTAAACTCGAGTTCCGCTTCAGGCACAGGGGTTGTAAAATCTTCCCAGGTGCTTGCGTTCTTCAGGGAACTTTTGGGAGCTCTGACCTTCTTACCAGAAAAAAGCTCTAACACCCTGGCACCCCTGCCCTTTTTAGAAACCCGGAAAGCCCCCGGAGTCCCGGCTCACCACCCTGACCCCTGCACTCGGTGCCATCCCGGCCGCTTCTGCTCCCAGGCGGTGCCCTGCAGCCGCTCAGGCCAGCGCAGGCCTGAGACACAGAGACACAAGGCCGCACTCTCCCGGCCCGTGCAGTCCCAGGGAGGGCAGAAGCCCCAGGGAGAGGGTGTGATTCCCGGGCCAGGCCCTCCCCCTCTCCAAGTTGGGCTCCTAGCAGCCGCCAGGACGGACTCCCTTTCGTCGCCCTTCCGAGCTCCAGCCCTGTGGCACCCTCTACTGGCTGCTGAGGGAAGACCGAGCGGGACTGAACGAACAAAAAGCAGCAGACAGGAAAAGCAGGCCTCCCATTCATTCCGTTTTTTTTAACGTATATTTTTTGTTGCTGGTTTTTTGTTGTTTTTTTCTGTAAAATGTCCCGGTTCTTTCATAACTTATAAACATGATTTATACCGAGGAGTGGATGGGAAGGTGGGTGAGGGCAGACCAGGGATAGGGAAGCTCCTCTTCCTGCTGCCCCCGTGGGGCTGGGCCCCAGGGCCCTTTGGGGGGTGGGGACACCCCAACACCTCCCTGAGGTTGTCTAGCCACCTCTGCCCCTGGTGCTCTGAATCTGGCGTGTCCCTCGATTCCGGAACCTCTCCTGGGACCCCAGGCCCTCTGGGCAACGCCCCTGGTGCTCTGGAACCTGAAGTGCCCGCGGTTCCAGAATTCCCCCCTCAGCTGCTGGGGTGATGGGCCCCCTCCTTTCTGCAGCTCCTCCTGACCCCCAGAGGGAGGGAAGGGAGAGGAAGCGGGGTCTTAGGTCTCCCCTCCGTGCCAGGGGGAGGGAGAGGTGGGATCTGAAGGCGGGAGGGAGTGGGAGGCAGGGGCCAGGAGGGGCTCAGCCAATGGTGAGGCCGAAACCGCACTGGAACTTGTTCTTTCGGTGATTGAGGAAGGCCCCGAGGGCCAGCGTCAGGGGCAGGGGCGGAAGCTTCTTCTCCAGCGTGGCGCCCACGATCCAGTTGCTGTCCACGGAGCCTGTGGGCAGACAGCTGTGCTGAGAGCCATATGCCACCTCAGACACCACCAGCCAGACTGCTGGCGTCCAGACCTGTGACCCGACTGTGCCCAGAAACCTCCTCCTGCACCCCAAGTGCTTCAGCCCTGGAACAACCAGGTCACTTCTCTTGTGCTCTCAGCTCAGCGAGCCGTCCCCTCCGGGGAACCCTCCACCGGCCCATGCGTCCCCCCGTGCCAATCCTGTCCACTCCAGGTCCTCCTTCTCTGGGGTCGGGCCTGCCCTTCCGAGTGTGACCCCTGTGAAGACAGGTTGTCCCCAGCACCCTTGGCACAAGGCTGGGCACGGTGGATGCTCAGCCTCTGATGAATGCAAGACTGAACTGTCCTCTTGGGCTCGTTTGCCAGGGCCTGACAGACGTGCACCTGCCCGGAGCCGTCCCCGCGTGGAGGTAGGGCTGGAACCCCAACCCAGCCTACATCAAGCTGAGCAAAGAGCAGAGGCTGAGAGGTTTCAGAGGTGACCTCCCTGCCCCCGGGCCTTGTCACCGCCAATAGAAGCCCTGCCCTGGGCTGACCGAAGCAGCGTTTGGGGGTCGTCTTCATACGCCCAAACCTGAGAACCACTGAGGCTGGAGGAGACTCAGGACTGGACTGAAGACTAGAGGTAGCCAGCCTGGGAGGGGGCTCCGGCCCGGGCAGTGGCTACGCAGCCTGGGAGCCTCGTCCCCACCAACGGGGCGTGAGGGGGCCGAGCGGCTGTGCTCCGTTACCTCCCACTTCTGGAAAAAAAAAAGGGGACTGGTGCTGAGACGGGGGCAGCGCTGGCCGCGGTGGGGAGGGCCCCCAGAGTCCCAGCGCGCTGCCCTGCGCAGCCTCCTTTGGCCTACATCCAGAGTGGAGTCACCTCTCAGCCTGCTTCCGGTGGGGAAACTGAGGCCTGTACCTTTGAAGAGGAGGTTGGCCTTGGGCAGGTCCAGCTGGTACCCGAAGGAGACACTTGTATCCTGCATCCTTGTGCTGGCCTCAAACTCCACGCCTACCTGCAGCTGAGGGGACCGGGAGCAACACACAGGGTCAGCTCCCCAGGCTGGACTCCTGGGCACAGGAGCCCCTGGCAACCCGCCCCTGGCACTGTGCCCTCACAGCCGGTCTCTGGACCAGCTCACCTGGTCACTGGCTTTGTGATAGTACGTTGCGTGCATGCCCGCCTGGCCCAACGTTACTGTCGCTAACCAGTTGTTCACTGTAAGAGAGCGGGGTTGGGGGTAGGGGGTAGGTTACCAGGGGGACTTGGGAACCCAGGTCTCCCCCACCCAAGACCAGGAGTCCAGGCCTCTAGACCCCCTCCTCCCTCAGACCCAGCCCCCCAGCCCCCCCTCCCTCAGCCCCAGGAGTTTGCGTCCCCACCCCTACTCCTACCCTTGGGCCCCAGGCTCACATGTGTATTTCCCAGCTAGAGACATGACAGTGCCCTCCTCCCCGGGCCGCCGGTGGTAGACCAGCTCTCCGCCCAGGGCCAGACACGGTGTGATACTCTGGAGGTAGTGGGCCACGAGGATTCCTGTGAGCGAGGAGGCAGGGTGTTACCTGGGCTTGGTGGCTAGTTTCTGCCCGGCCTGGGTGCCAGGGCCGACTTCCGCTCCAGGGGGCCTGGAAAGCTGGCCCCTGCCGGAGGCTCAGGGCCGCCCCTCAGGTCCCCCCCAACTCTTCTCAATGGGGAGGCTCACAGGGCCATGAGGTCAGCCGCCCAGACCCTGCGGGACCTCCTCTGGTCTGCACAACCCTGTGCGCTGCCATTCAGCTGCCACCATTTACAGAGGCCAAGGGAGTTCAGTCACTCACCCATGGTCACAAAATGTGCGAACCACTCTGCCGCTGGGAGAGGCCGGAGGTGGGGTTCAGGGAGCGCACACCTCCGGGCGCTGGGCGGCATGGGTTCAAACCGCAGCCCAGCCCTACCCCTTGCCGGCGGAGTCATCGTGGGCCACTGGCGTCACTTCTCTGTAAGGAGGGACGTGGGCACAGCGTACAGAGTGTGCCCAGGGCTCAGTGACCCCTAGGATGGATCCTGTCCCCTGGCAGCAGGGACACCCGGGTGTCCCCGTGAGTGCTTGCTAAGGACAGCTCCACCGCGGGGCTGAGTCCCTGAACTCACGCCTGCCCCTGGAGCCCAGGAGGGGAGTTACCACACATGTGATCCTACAGGTGAGGAAGCAGCGAGGGGGAGGCAGTGGGAGGGAGAAGGAAACAGACAATGAAAGACCCCTATGGAAAGAGGAACAGAAGATCGTCTGGAGAGAAACTGAGCAGACACACGCTGAGGTCATGTGACCCATCAAGAAAGAGGAGGACGCCAGAAAGGGGAAGGCAGGGACAGACTGGGACAGGAATGGAGCAGGAGCATGG